TGCTTCGGGCCTGATGCGCCCCCCCCCCCAGGGGCTGGTATCGGATTCCCCCCCAGCTGTTGGAGTCCTCCAGCCCCGCCGCGAGCTGCCCACAGGTGCTAAATGTGTCAGCCCAAGGCCCCGGTGACAAATGCGGATAGCGGAGCCCAGCCTTGGAGCTCCCCGTGACACCTCGCTGGGTTCGGAAGCCCCACGCACCCCTCCTATGAGCCACAGCTCCTGGGATGCTGTGGTAGAGCCACCCAAAATGCCCCTTCTGCTTCTGCCTGGCCCACCCTGGACCCCTGCCATGAGCTGCCTGTCCATGAAGCCTGGCCCAAAACCGAGGTGCCTCCCTGGGGCACACAGTACATGGAGCAGGCCTGGAGCACCAAGGGCTGGGGCAGGTTGGAGGAGGGAATTAGCATCACGCTCCTGGCTCCTTTTGCAGGGCAAATAGCCAGGAATGGATGAGCCCAGCTGCCAGGCTCGCTCCCAAGAGCCCAATAACCCCAGAGGGGGAAGCTCCCATTGGGGCTGGTGCAGGGCCTGTCCCACGGCACACGCTGCCGGCCAGGCTGCCCCCGGGTGCTACCCTGGGGACTACGGGGTCCCAGGTGCTACCCTGGGGACTAGGGAATGCTCTTGGTAGGACCCAGCCTGCCCACACTCCGATACGAGCGGGACGGGCAGGCGCACACAAGCCCTGATGTCCCAAACCTCATGGGACACCTCCCTTTTCTTGGGCACCCCAAGGCAGCCACCAGCCTCGAGGCGCTCTCCTGCCTGGCCCAGGTCTCTGCAGGCTGCATCCTCAGCTCCACAGACCCCCAGAACCAGAGGGAGGCAACGGCACTGGCCGAGCTCCAGGGAATACCGGGTCTCCCGGAGCCTCCCGGCACAGCCCAAGGGCAAAGCAGCCCCCTGAGCGCTCGGGAGATGGCACCTACCAGAGAAGTTGCGCGTCGCCAGCATGGTGGTGAGGATTGCGCCCTGAAACACACAGAAAGCAGGAAGGAAAAGGGAGCGCTGGGCCCTGGCACACTGCACATTCCCACCCCATCCCCAGCGGGAGGAAGGCCCCACTCATCACCTGCCTTCCCGAGGTTTTGCTGGGAGGACAGGCCCGCGGGACAGTAGTCCCCTCCTGCCATCAAAAGCAGCCTCGGTACCCGACTCCTTAACCCCGATGCCAGGGCGTTGGGTTGCATCCTCTGAACCTGCTTTCCCTCTGAGATTAAAGGGATATTAAATATCCCAGGGCAGATTTCGGTTTCGTTCTGCCATGGAGGGACAGGGATACCACGGAGCAGAGAGGGCAGCTGGGTAGAAGGGGAGTCGCTGGGAGCAGAGTTGAATTTAATTGTAATTAAAGTTGTGCTGCTAACAACGGTGGGGTGAGGATTTGTCATGGCAGCAAGGAACAACACTGCAAGATAATGTTTATAAAAACATTTCCCCTTTTCCAACTGACTCCACTAACTAGTTTCTTAGTGTATAATGAGATTACTTCAGACTAATTAGTCACGGTAATGGATTACTATTTTGAAGTACATGCCTGAACTAATTTGATTACTTGTCTAGCTGAAAGGTAATAATAGTTTATAGCCGGTTTCCTTTCTTGATAATCTTGTTAGCAGCCCGTGGCTCTACTGCTCAGTGCCACAGTGCACTCAGGCCCGAAACGCCGGCGGGTCCAACTCGGGCGCAGGTCGGAGCCCTCCTCGCAGCCGGGAGAAGCCGTGGGAAGTGGTGGATGTTGCTGGCTCCGCGGGAAGCATTCCCTTCCCAAAGCAGCCCGGAGCCAGCTCCCAGCAGGCTGCCACCAACAAGGGCCGAGCAGCTGTGGGAATGAGCTCTTAGAGGGGATTTTAGGGTGGGTGGACACTGCCCGAGCACAACAGCATCGGGAAGGGGCGGTCTGTGGGGCTGCTGTGCTGGGTCAGCCTTGCCTCCGCTTTTTGCCTACCTGCCTACACTTTGCTTGCTCCCTGGATGAAACATGGCTCATTTGGCCCCTGCATCTGGCAAAAGGTCTTGCTGTGCTGCTCAGGTCTGTGTCTCTTTAACAGTGTCCCAAGGAGAAACATCCTCTCCCTGGTTGGCAACAGTCTTGCTATGCAATTCAGTGCTTGGCCTCAGTGTAGCCTTTCCCCAGGCAATGGAGCCCCCAATGCAGCCACTGGCACCCATTGATCCCTCTTCCCTCCTTTGGAGCAGACCCCCAGTGCACATCACCCCCAAAGCCTGACCCAGAGACCCTAGAGAGACCCGCTGCCCTTTTCCTCTCAGGCAACAAATTCCAAACCATCTTGCCACGTGTTCTCCAGCCAACTTGGAAAGGAGAGTGTAAGAGTTACCTTCAGCTTCCTCCGGGCATTGAATTTCTTCAGACAGTCCACAGTCTCCTGCCTGTGCATGCATGATGCCACGGTCGCACGGTGCTGGGGAGAGACAGACACTCAGCTTGGAGAGGGAGCAAGAGGAGAGCAGCATCGAGGGAGGCCGAGCGCATCCCCCTCTCACACACACGGACACGTGTGCCGTCTCCCGCGGTGCTGGCCGCGGCTGCGTGCAGCAACGGCAGCAGATAAAACTTTAATAGGCAGCAGGAGCTCGAGTCAGAAGGCTCTGGCTTGGCTGCGTGGGAGTTTGCAGGGAGAACTCGCTGTGCCCCGGGTTTGCATCCAAGCTGCCTGGCTGTATGGTGGGGAGCCTTGGGGTCTGCCCGCAGTATTCCTATCCTTGGGAGCTGATCCCAGCTCCGAGGGGTGAGCAGCAGGGCTGCAAGCTCGTGGGCTGCTGCAGCCTGTGCTGCATTCTCTGCTCCCAGCTGTGCGCATGAAATACTCGTGCCGGGACTAGTGGGGCTGCCCTCGTGTCCCTCCCGTTGGCCATCGTGTCCAGCCTTTCTCGCGAGCCCCTGGCCAGCTCACCGATATCCAGGGGTGCTTCAGAGCTTCTGCTGCTGTGATGCGCTTCGATGGGTTTATAGTTAACATCTTGTTGATGAGATCTTTTGCTTCAGGAGTGACCGTGTCCCACTCCGGGGAAGGGAACTGCCAAGGCAACAGGAACAAGGTGAGAAACGGGGACAAGCAGTGGAAGCAGAAGCCCACCTCAGACCCCCCAAATGCAGCAGGGCTGCTTCTCCTGCAAGTCTTTGCTTCTGCCCACAGGACAGGGTTGCGTGGAGGGATTTGCTGGGAAGAGCTGCCAGCTGGAAAAGGAGAGCAGAGGAAGGGGGAAGCACAGAAGGGCAGGGATAATACCTATATGTGCTGTACTGCGTGCCTGGACAGCACCTGCGGGCAAGGGCAGATGGACGGCCCTCTGCGAGCAGAGCAGGGGGAAGAAACAGCTCACGTCTGTCCAAGCAGACTGCAACGAGGGGACAGCAGGACAGCGGGGACAGCGCAGGAGGAGAGGAAGGCAAACGCACTCACATCATAGGCGCCAGCCTTGATCTGCTGGTAGAGGCGATGCTGGTCTTCATCCCAAAAGGGAGGATACCCGACCAGCAGGATGTAGAGGATGACTCCTGCCCAAGAGAGGAAGAGCAGATATGGGTTGGGTGCTGGTGAGTGGCAGAGAGTTTATGTTGCTGCAGAACCCAAACGGGAGGCAGTTCCAGGTTCAGAAGAGAAAGGGAGAGTTTTAAGGAAGACAATTTATTCCCTAATTAACAAAACAAAGCCAGGCTGTCTCCATGCTCCCATGCTGGGCAGCTGAACCAGGCACCCACATGTACGAGCCCTGCATGTCCCCTGCATTGTGGGCAGCGGGAAGCTCCCCACAGATACAGTGCCCTGGCTCCACATTCCAGGGCTTCGCATTTGGAGGAAGGAGGCTGGTCCATCAGAGACAGGCACCACTGGGCTGGGAAAGGGGATGCTGCTCTGGGGACAGCACTGTGCAAGTGCCAGCTCCTGCGCATTGAACACTCTGCCCTGGCATCCCGCATCGTTCCCAGGATCCCTGTGCAGTCAATCCTGGCCTTCCAACTACAGTCTGACTTACCACAAGCCCACAGGTCCACAGCTTTGCCGTAGGGATCCTTTCGGAGCACTTCTGGGGAGAGGTATCCCGGAGTGCCGGCAAAACCTAGTGACCGCAGAGAGACAGCCCGTCACCGCCTCGGTCCCGCAGCCCGTCACAGCGCCACGTGCCAGCGACGCCTGGCTAATGGCCACACACTGCGGGAGGGCCATTTGCCCCGGCATGCCAGGAACTGTTGGATGAGTGTGTGGGCGCTTGGCATGTAGGGGATGGCAGGGATATTGAGCCATCCCCGGCTCCTGAGGCATCTGTGTGCCTTGAGCACCTGGAGGAGGATTTCCTCCCCTGGCTCTGCCCATCCCACCAGCTTGTGGGGCTCCCCAGAGCATCTCGGGGACTCGGCGTGTCCCTGCTGAGCTGGCTGTTGGTGTCATGGTTCAATACATGGGCTGGCTCGAGCTTTCAAATTGCTCTTCCCCTTGCCAGGGCGCTCTGTAACCTGGTATTTAGGACCTGGTCACACGTGCCTGTCCTGGAGCCTCCCGGGCCTTCCTGGCCCTACTTCATGTGTGCCAAAGAGGGCTGGAGAACAACCCACCTCGGGGCCATTGCTACTCACCGAACCACGCTTGCTGGTCCCCCTCCACCTCGATGGCGAGGCCGAAGTCGGCCAGCTTGACGGCTGCTCCCTTCAGCTTGGACGCCAGCAGCAGGTTCTCCGGCTGCAGGAGGAAGCAGAGGTTGGGAGAGCCGTGAGCGCAGCCTCCCCGCCGGGTATTCAGACCCCGTGGCCACGAGCTGCAGTGCAGCCGTGCGGGAGCTTCCCGGCGTGGGGCTGGGGGAGGCCAGGGGTCTGCAACGGCTTCCCAATCCTGCTGTGTCTTGGAGCTGCAGCAATAGATCCAGCACATGGAGGCCTGTGGTTTGCAGGGGGAGAAACTGGGACGAGTTCGGCCCATTGCCAGGCTCGTGGCGTGACAACAGGGGGACCCTGCAGCACCGGTGTGGCAATGCCAGAGGCTCAGGGCACTCCTGCCTACACACGCTGCCCTCTTCCCTTCTTCTGTGCCCTGGTGTTTCCAGGAAACATGAAGCTTGGCAATATGCTACCCCACTCCAGCCATTCCCCATCCAGTGCAGGAACACTTCCCTGTTCCCAGGTTGTCCCATCTGCCTCTCTCCACAGCAAGGCATTTCAGAGAGCCAAGATGCATCTTCCCAGGAGGAAGACTGGCTCCTTGCAGGACCTTGGACCACAGAGGCATCTTGTTCTTTTCTCTCCCTTCTATCTTTAAGCCCCGTAGCTTGTCTGTGCTCTGGCTTTCCCAAAGCTCCTTCAGAATAATCTTTTCCACAGTGTTTCAGCTAGCCCAGAGGACACGACAGGGCAAGGCTCCTCTGGACGTTACTCCTTGAGGTTTTGCACCATAGATGGGGTCCTGCATCCCACAGGCGCTTCCCCTGCAGCTCTTACCTTCAGATCCCGATGTACCACCCCCATCTGGTGGCAATGCAGGACAGCTTCCAGGATCTGCTGGATGCAGTGGCTGCGCGAGAGAGGCAGAGAAAACTCAGCAAAGCAGAGCTTCCGTAGACACATCCATTCGCCTACATTCCACCTTCCAGCACCATCCGCCAGCCCATCGCCCCGTCCCAGCACCAGCCCTCCCCGCTGCATTCCACACACCCACATCCCGGGAAGCGCGGAGCGGCTGTAACCCATCCGCTCGCTCCGCATCCAGCCCCCGCGCGCTGCCGGAGGAGCCGGGAGCGCCACGCGCTTCCCCACGGATGCGGCGCTGGGGGAGTCGGGCGCTGGCAGCGCCGACACGAGCCCAGATCCGGGCTCCGGCACCCGGCAAAGCAGATGAGCTCTGCAGATACAGAGCGTTTACTTCAGCCCCATTTCCCTCGTCTTCTCTAATGCAGGTGGCTCTCGCTGTGTCTGCTCGTTTTATATATAGCTCATTAAACCCTGGCTCTGCTGCACGCATGAGAAAGGAAGGGGAAAAGAATGAGGCAATGAGCGCTTCCCCTCCCAAACAGCTGTCTGCCAAGCAGAAGGTCTTTATTTACATGTATTTTACTTTATTTATATGACACTAATAAGTGGATGGGTTGTAAGTGGACTGAGAGCAGGCAGAACATTAAATAAGAAGATCACTTTATGCCTATTAATAGGGGATATTTTCCATGCATGCGGAGGTAGCGCAGAGTTTACCACTGCTCGGACATTCGTGCCAGCCCCGCTCATCGTCCCCTGCATGGGCTACTCCACACGCAGAGGGCAAAGCTGGGGCACAGCGGGATCTGGGGACACCAAGAGCTATCTCGGGCAGTACAGGTGACCTCAGCCAAGGCACATCCCCTCGGTGAAATGCCGTCCCCCTCTCTGAGCCTGCAAAGGGGTGGCCAAAGTGACATCCAGTGGGAGAGACAGCAGCTAGAGCCTGTCCTCACAGCCAGCCTGGCCTGCCTGCTCCTCATTAGCGCTCCCAAGTGCTAAATGCCAGAGAAACCCTTGCAAATAACTAATAGAGCTGTGAAGGGGAACGTCGGGGATCACGGCACATTTACACCGTCGTGCTCCCGCCCGGGGCACCAGGCAGATCCCACAGCGCTCCTGCTTCCCGTGGAAGGGCTCAGGATGTGCCGGCAGCTGCAGGACACAGCAGGCATGGATGGGAGCTGCCCGGCATCCCCCCTGCTCACCTGGCATCCGCCTCGCTGTAGTACTCTCTGGCCACGATGTCCTCAAAGAGCTCCCCGCCTGTGACCCTGGAGCAGAGCAGAGTCACACGGGGCCACCTCCACCCTCGGGAGCAGCCCCCTGCGGAGCTGGGATGCAGGGCAGGAACCGGGACGCGGGGCAGGAACCAGCAGCCCGTGGTCGTGTGGGCTGGGGACCGAAGCCAGCGCAGCCGGCTCAACCCCCCTGTGCTGGGGAGGCTGTTGCAAGGCAGGGGACGGGGAAGGTGGAGGGTGATGCATGATTTGGATGGGCCATGCAAGGACACGTGCTATGGCACCAGCCCCACGCACGAGGCATCACGCTATGGAGCCGGGTAAGCCCACTGCGAGTTAAGGGCTGGTTTTAACCACAGGTTAACCGCAATTTCTACTCACAGGTCAAAGATCAGGTAGTGGTGACCCTCCTCGGAGATGCTGTCATGGAGCCTCACTGCGGTGCAGACAAAAGCGGGATGGTTACGTAGGTTATGCCCAGCTCCCACCCAGCTCTCCTGGCCACCAGAAAACCCTTGGCTCCCCTCGGGCTCAGCATGGCTACTCCTCCTCCCTGCTCCAGCTGGGATAGCAGCTCCCTGGGAATGCCTCTGCTTGGATGCAAGGCTCCATGGCCATGGCCAAAGGGAGGGACTGCCCAGGGCCGGGATCAGAGCTGGATCAGGAGCCAAGTCGCTCCACTGCCAGGCCCTTGGCAGCGGTGCAGGCTTCGCCTTTCACGACCTTCCTTTTCTCCTTGGGATGTCTCCTGCTGGGGATTCCCGGGAATCACCGAGGGATGAGTTTCCTTCGGAGGAAGGATCCCTCTCCCTGGGCACGGGGCACCCAAAGGTGCTGCCCCCGGCCAGGGGATGGCAGAGCAGAAACCTGCCCAATTCTTCACACCTGGGCTTAGCTCCCTGCTCAGTAGTCAGATACCCAGCAAGGGGAAAGGCACAGAAATAAGGCAGAACAGATAAAAAAGAGCCCAGCATGTAAATTAGAGCAGCATCCAGCATCACCTGCCCCAGAATCTTACATTTTGCTCTGATTTCTTTGTAGCTGTATTTAACCCTTTCTTGCTCGTCAGCTGGTTTCAGCATAACACAACTTTCAGCGCTGTACATGAAAACCAGTCAGGGAAAAGAAAAAAAAAACCCTTTCAGGTAAATATTTGTGTGCAAATTTTAGCTCGTAGATGATTTCACTGCAGCTAAATCAGTGGGAAACATCCTTTGCTTTCAAGCCTCAGAGAGCCAGCAGAAACAAGCCTCGATGCTGGTGCCGGGTGCCTGCTGGTGCCAGCAGAACCGCGGAGCCTGCAAATGCAGCAGGCAGATCCCACAGCTGCCAAGAGCACGCAGGGAATGGGAACGCTCACAAGCAGGGAGGGAATCTGGAGAAGAGCAAAAGGGCTGCAAAAACCCGGAGCCCGCCCACGCAGAGGCCTCAGCAGCTCCAGCTAATTAAGGGGTTAAGTCATTAAGCTCAGGCATCCCCAGCAGCCCAGCCCCAGGCTGCCCAGGGCTCTGCAATTCCCTTCCTGCCGGCAGCGCTCACGTCACCCCTCGGCCCAATTTCTTCCAGAATAACGGGCAGCAGCAGCTTGCTGTGCCTGGCTGCTCCTGTCCTTTGGGTCTCTTCCGTGGCCTTGAATATTGACACAAGGCTGCTCGGCTTATTTAATGGCTATTCCCCCTGGTTTCCCTACTGCAGGCCTCCACAGAGCTTTTGCCTGCACTCAGACACCTGCGTTTGCCCAATATTTTCTCCTTTGACACTTAATCCCAGCTTTTCTGCCTTCCTCTGTTAAAAGGAGCCCGTTTCCTCCACGTTTTGTCTCATACGACAGGGATTTGGCGGGTATTGTTCCCAGGATGCTGCAGACTCCGAAACGTTCAGAGGATTAGACCTGTTAGGAGGGATTGGGCCATTGCAGCTATAAACGGATGGTCTGGAGACACCCCCCGCCTGGGGAAGCCCCAGCAGCTTTAACAGGCAGCGGCCGCTCCAAACATAGCCTGGTCCGAGCGGAATCTGCTCCGGGAGGGCACCCGGAGAGGGCCGTGCCCGGCCACGCCGGCTCCAGTGCCAAGAGCAGGATAGAGTTTCAGTGCCCAGGCTCAGGGGGAGGAGGAGGGGAGCCAGAGCAGAACTGTGGGTGGCCAAAACCTGCGGTTTTACCCAAAGCGTTATCCCAAACCCATGGCTTTGCTGCAGAGGCTCAAACCTCCTGGTGCCTGCAGCTTTCCCCCACACCCCTGCGGGGATGGGAGCAGCTCTAGCAGGGTCCCCCGGGGTTCCCGGCCACAGGACATGCTCTTCCTACAGGATTGGGAAAGCCCTGGGCGCAGCTTGGACCCCCAGCCTCGCTTTGCTCCGCTTCCCTGCACTGCGTCCTGCTCGTTAGTGCTGGCCTGCAGCGACGCCGCTCGCCCCAGCCCCTTAGCTTGTAATTAGCTTGTTTGCATTGCAGAGCGCTGCATGCAAGGGAAGCAGCTCACCCGAGCATCCATGCAGCAAGAGCAGTGCTGAGGTGGGGGGAAAGAAGAGAAAAGAGGAGCCTCCTGTGTATAAATAGCAGCTCCACATGGCCCGTTAGCAGCTTGTGTCCTTAACCCCTTCCAGCTGGGGCCTCTCCAGCTGCTCTGAGGGAGCCAAATGGCAGTGCTTGGTGTGGGATAGGGGGAGAGCAATGAGAGTCTGCCCATGGCTCTGGGGAGAAGAGATCAGGGTGAAGAGACAGAGGAAAAGGGCCAAGAAGAGAGCGATGGTGCCTTCCTGCAACCCTGCTGAGGGGCTCAGCTGCAGGAGGATGACAGGATGAAATGCTGTGGCCATCGCAGCACCTGCAGCAATCCTAGCCTGGGGGTTAGGGAAGCACCAGCTGCCAAGGTGCTCCTGTTCTGGGAAGTATCCTGGGGCCATCCAAGGACCTGCAGGGACTCCTGCATGCAGGGCTGCTGAGCGTGAGCCCTTCTGCAGGGGGAAATCCTGGGAAAAAAGCAGCTCAGTGTGGCCAGCTCCTATAGAGAATATAAGGTTGGAGACCAGAGCCAGAGGAATGCAGGTGCCTAACGATAACCTCAGTTCTGAGCATGGACATGGCCTGAACTGCCCATCCTGCCGGAGCAGGATTAGTGCTGGGAAAATGCCTCCTTGTCCCGGATCGCAGCTGGATCCAGCAGACCCTGGTGCCCGGCTGCACGGAGGAGACCTGGAGCTGCTGTGCGGGTGTTTGCCCGACGCAGATTGAAGCTGACAGGCTTTTTACCGTCTGAAAGATTTATCAGGCGGGAGCCACGCGTAACCAGCACTGGGAGCGGGGTAAAGTGGCTGGTCCTGGTGGCGAGGAACCTCCTCAGGGGCTGCAAGGGAAAGATCGGTCCAAGGAAACCTCCCTGCTGCTGTTTGGGGTTGTCGAGCTCCCACCCTGCCGTGCATCCCTCTCCCTAAAGGAGCAGGAGCCCCTTGGGGCGAGCACATCCCACGGTGCCCAACGGTGCCCAACAGCATCGGGATTTTTGCTGCAGTTTACCCCCCTCCCCTCGTTCTCCTTCTGTCCTATTTTTGTCTTTTGCAGGGGCTCGGGAGTTTTCCTGAAACAGCTTTTCCGAAGGAGGCTCCTCTCAGATGGACGGTCGGCGGGACCGTCTCCGCGTCCCCCCGCCATCGCTCCTCCCACGCGCCCGGCTCCGCGGCTGCTCCGCGCCGGCGCCTCTTTTTGGAGCACAGAGCGGGATGAAGTATCCGCGGTGCCGGAGAAGGGTAAAAATAGCCCCCTTGCAGCCTGCCGGAGCCCTGCGTCCCCGCGGGGAGGCACGGCCAAGTGGGTTAGCTGGGACCTACTTAAACACAGGCCTTTCTTCTGATGACCCCGTTTGGAGGCGCGCGAGGAGGAGGAGGAGGAGGAGGCTGGGGAGGCAGGTCCTGCTCTCTGCACCATCTCCGAATTGATGGCAGCCCCGAGGCTCGGCCGCACGGAGGGGATGGAGAGGGGGAAGGCGCCCGGCGGGGCGGGAAGGGCTGGCTCCGCTCGCGGCTCCGCGTTCCCGGCGCTGCTCCGTGCTTACCGATGTTGGGATGCTTCAGGAGGCGGCAGATGCGAGCTTCCCGCTCCAGCTTCTGGTGGTCTGAAAGAAGCAACGTCCACGAGTTAGTGCCTTTGGCGCAGGGAAGAAGCCGATTTCCATCGTCCCCAGCGTTAGCTGCGAGGGACGCGCGCTTAGCAGGGAGCGAACGCTGACCGAGCTCCTGTCCCCTCCGTGGTGAGCCCTAAGGGCAACTTTCTGTGGAATTCCCAGCATTAGGGACAGGCCAGGATATGGAATGTGACACCTTGCTCAACTGGGGCAGCACCGGTCCCTCTCCCCGCTATGTGCTGGGCTGGAATGTGCAAGGTGGCTCCAGGGAAAGCACCCGTAGACGAGCCGGAAAAACCACCCGCTGGGGCTGTCCAGGATGAATTTTCAATTCGTTTTCTTTCTTTCTGCCTCCCTCTGTGTTTTCCTCAGACATGAAACAGCCTTCCTACACGGAGGTGCCTTCTCACTGCAGTTTTGCCTGAGCGCATTTCATGATAGCGGGAACCCGGCAGCCGGGAGAAGCAAGGATATAATTAGGGCTGCTCGTCTCTCGGCGTTATCATCACTGCCTTGCCTGCTTCACACCCCAGAGTCTCGCTCCGTGTCTGACCGAGTCTGGGTATCTGTGACTGCTCACACGTGAAGGTTGCACAGGCGCTTCCCCACGGCGCAATTCCCTCGCCTCTGTCCAGCCTGCTTTGAAAGCACTGAATATTTGGGATCTTTGCCCTATCCGTAGCTCCGGAGCTTCTCCTTGGCTGGATTTTTCTCCCTCCTGCCATCTCCTCTTCTCCCCAGTGCCTGTTAGCTAATGGCTTTTGCTCCTTGGCTTGGGATATTTGCAGCGCAAGCCAACAGCTGTGGGCTGGTGCCCATAGAGGGGGACCCCAAACCCGTTTCTCTTCCAGAGCTCTGGTTTCTCCCCGTGTGGGCAGCCAGAAGGAGCCCTGAAGAGCCTGTACCCAGGCAGCTCCTGTCTCATGCTCAGGTCCCTGCACATGGTCCCTCCAGGTCCTCTGCAGGGCACATGGAGCCAGCCCAGGGCCCATCGTGCCCCTTTGGGGATTGCTCCTGGCCTGGGGAAGGGCCATTCTCCCCTCCTAGAGTGGCAAAACGGGGGGATTCGAGCTGCTTCCGAAGGAGGCCGGTGGTTCCAGCCAGCAGAGCAGGTAGAATAACCCTGGAGCGGTGTCACCCAGAGGGGTGACCGCAAAGGGCCAGGCCCCTGCAGCCACGAGGAGGAGGGCAGAATGCAGGGGATGGACCTTTTCTTTGCAGCGACTTGCCCCAGGGAGCAGCTTCCCCACAGCCCTGCCTTCCCCCAGGCTTTCTCCCGCTCTCCGGAGCACATCCCGCTTGTCCAGCTCCTGCCTGGCACAGGGTTCCAGCAGGCCGAGTGGGAGCAGCGCCGCAGGGAGCTCGTCCTGCTCTGCCTGCAGCAAGCAGGAGGCCAGGAAGAGCAGGGTCTGCTCCCACTGCGGGAGACCTGCGTGCCCAGGGGACACGGGGGCTTTGTGGGGACTCTAGGAAAGGGCAAAGGCTCAAGACCCTCGAGATATCCAGGCTTCTGGCTCCCAAACCTTATGGAGCTCAGTGCTCAGATTTGGCACGGTGCAAACCGGGGCCTCCTGCAGCGCATCCAGCGCCTTGGCTGCACCAAGGACACGATGCGCTGTTCCGGCTGTCCCAGGCCCGCTGCATCCCCTGACATCTCCCATTTTCCCGTTTCCCCTTTTCCCATTTCCTATTTTCGCACCTACCTCGGGCAGAGAGCTTCTTGGTGTTGATGATTTTGGCTGCATACTCCTGTCCTGCCAGCACCTTCACGCATCTCCGGACAATGGAGAAAGCGCCCCTGGGGAGACAGGAATGCAAAGGGAGGAGTGAAGGACCTGGCACGGGGCGAGGAAAGCGCCAGCAGCCAAGGATGGGGCATGGGCTCGGGCAGGGGACGGGGGCTCCAAAAGTGCAGGAAACAGGAGCTCGGGTGGTCCCTCCTAGGAGGCCTCTGCCCGGGCGATGTGGGGTGATGCGGAGGGATGAAGGCAGCATTTGACCCTCTGCTCCCTGCTTGCCAGGCACGTTCTCACCTTCCCTCCTTTCCATGCAGCCTCATCCATCATCCTGGGAGAAACAGCAGCGCTTTAATGTTTTCTCCCAAGGAGCAGCAGAAATGGACGTAGCTGTCGCAGAGCACTCAGGTACTTAACTTCAGTGTCCCCATGTCCTTGCGTGCTTGGCGCAGCAGCAATTCACAGTGCAAGAAGGAGCTGTGAAGACTCCTCTCTCCTCCTGCCTGTAAATCCCTGGATATAGGGGGATAGGGGCCCCTGAGGGCCCCCTGTGAGATGCCAGAGCGTCTGAGCACCAGGCTGCAGGATGCTCCGGCATCCAGCCCAGCAGAGCAGGCTGCAGGATGCTCCAGCATCCAGCCTGTTGGACCAAGCTGCAGGATGCTCCAGGATCCAGCCTGCTGGACCAGGCTGCAGGATGCTCCAGGATCCAGTCCAGTGGACCAGGCTGCAGGATGCTCCAGGATCCAG